TATATATAAAATTATCGTAGATCTGTTATGGTTTAATAATTTAGGTTTTTTAGAATTACTATTATTATTAAAATCTTATAAATTATGATGTAATTAAATTATATAAAGTTGGGTTTTAATAGATAATTTTATAATTATATTAAATATTAGGTGTTCTTCATAAAAGCTATCGTCAAAAAGCTCTAAAATAAGGTTTCTGATTTTATATATAAAATTATCGTAGATCTGTTATGGTTTTTTTGTAGTTTTTAGAAAAAGCAATTTGAAAAAAAAAATTTCCAAACACATATATATGTTTATATATATATATATATTTAAAAGTACTGTACAGTTATACAAAAAAGTTCCTAATCGTAATCCCAAAGGCACCCTTAATGCCATGGCCAAATTGCTTTTCAACAATAGTTTTAAATTTAGGAAATATAATGGAAACATCAAATTTTCTTTTTAATGGATAGAGCCAAGTGTAGTGTGTGAAATGATCTATAAAGAGTAAGAAATAATTATAGCCATCAATTGAAGATATCGAGGTTGGATCCTAAACATCTGGAAAAATACATCAAGCAGAGCTGTTGATGACCACCTAAAATTTCAAATATATATATATATATATGAAAATATTATGAAAAATTAGGTGTAGAAAATGAAAAAAAAAAAAGAAGAAGAAGAAGAAGAAGAAAGGAGTCGCCATTTATTCAAATTATAAGGTAGGACAAGTCACCTGAAACTTGGTCTGCGTGGAGATCAGAATTTGGGGCTAAGGTTAGGAGTGAGGAAGGGCACACGCCCATCTCACAATCCTTTGTGTAAAAACATGATTGCAAACTTTAACATTTGAGAATTTATTCAACTTTTATTGTTTTCGATTTTTTGATAAAGTGGACTTTAAAGAAGTAAATGGATAAAACTGCAAAACTTGAAAATACTTGGACTGAATTGAAACAAAATCAAGAACATGCATGCACAATTGCAACAAAATTAAAAGTGGAGGAACTGCTGTGAGTAAATTCAAAACACAGAGGACTGATTTGAAAAGATTTAAAATTTCTGGACCTAATTGCTTGATTTCAAAAAGTTTTATGCAAAATTTAGAATTTAATAAAAACAAGTTTGAATTTCAAATTTTGACCATAATTAAACAAATTAAACAAAATTTAAGCTGATTAATCAAAATGATTGATTTAATTGAATGATTAATCATGAATTAATGAAAATAATTGATCACTACAATTAGCCTTTCATTAGAATAATTAGGCTAGTCTAATTATCTTAATTAAGACTAATCAAAGTAATCAATTAATTTTAATTAAGATTAATCAAATCAATTAACCACCATTTAAATCAATTATTAAGATTATTATTGTTGTTGTTTTTTTTTATTTTTTTAGAATTTTTTTGTGATTAAACCATTCTTGGTAGGTCGAGCTGACTTGACCCAAAACATGTTGCGTCTATAAAAATGGATAAAAACAGATCAAATCAATAGAGAAATTAAGGCTTATTCAATCAAAAACTCAGTTTTCAACAAAGATTTAACACCCTGCATAATTCTAATTCCATATTCCAGTACCAATCACTAAAATAAGGCAACAATATATCAATTTGCTAAATAGTCATTCATTTCTTAGCAATCTCGTACAAGTTCCAGGATCAACCATCAAGATATTCACATCCTTCTAAAGCTCGTCTTACCTCCTCCATGTTCAACTAGTATAATTTCTACTATTATTCCTCTTTGCAGGGTCAAAAATGCTCAAGTTTTATGTTTGGGATTAGTTTCAGTAGCAGTCTTCATGCTTGTCATGCCTCTCTCCAAAGCTACTAGGGGTGTATTGCTTCGAATGGCACCACCTAACATTCCATCTTCAGCATATTGAGCAAATGCTGGCGGCAGGTTCTCTCTTTTCCAACAAAATTGTGTTTTTCTTTGTAATTTTCATTTTTGAAAATTCAATTTCTGTTTAGATTACCTCTCGTGAAACATGTTACAGAAGTTTCCCAAGCCCCCCGCTTTTGGGAACTAGTACCCGGTCATGCCATTGACTCAATTTCACTGCTGGTA